TTGTTTGTTTGTTGTTGTTTTTGTTTGTTTGTTGTTGTTGTTTGTTTGTTGTTGTTGTTTGTTGTTGTTGTGGTTGTTTGTTGTGGTTGTGGTTGTTGTTGTTGTTGTTGTAGTCGCGCTAGAGGCGCAAAGCAGGCGTCCATGTTGGGTCCTGGTCGTGAGCAGAAGGATCCGGTCGTTTTTGAGGTTGAGTGGGGGAGTCCTGCATAATGAATGTGTGCGTGTGTGTGTGTGTGTGTTTTGTGGTGAGGTGCAGTGTGGCTCCTGGTTCTTTTATCGTCCATTCATGTAGCATCCAAAATAGGGATGCCCCCTTCTCAGAACCCCCTCCCAACCGAGGCACATGTTTGTCAAAAAGCAGCAAATGGTGGATGCGTACGAGGCCGGCATGGGCCGATGTTAAAAGACAGACGTCAGCTTCTCAAGATACTGGCTTTACAATGTAGCAATTTCATTACATGGTTATTCGGAGCCCTGAATACTCAAGGATGTTCAATCTACGTTCTAGTCATTCTAGTCTGGACCCTGGCAGCGCGAACCGACGTATCCGTTCGGGGCCCGGCAGATGACGTATTCAGTTGGCTTGGAGCGCTTCCTGGAAGCAACTACCATCCATGCCGTGCCTTGAGACAAAAGAAGAACGACGCATAATCTCACATGTTCAGAAGTAACGCTTAACTTAACATTCGCTCGTCATGCAACCCGTTTGTCCGTGGTAAGATGTGCAGACTCCGAAGCAAAGGCCGGAGTCCATGTGCACGGATCTTCATAACTATCAAACAGAAGCAGCGCAGCAACATGAACAACGCCAGCAATAAATGCAAGAACCGCAACAACGTCGACGACGACCACCACCTCCACCGCCAGAACTGCCACCACCACCACCGCCAGCACCACCACCGCAACCACAACCACCACCACCACTGCCACCACAAGCTGGCTGTGTTGTTGATCAAGTTTTACATTTTTTTCTAAATTTCTTTTTCCGAAATAGTCACTTCCCCCGTGCGTTTTTTCAAGAATATTCAGTTTTATTCAGTATTCTGCAAAATTATGCTATACACTTTGGATCCCAAGTTTTGGCTGTGAGAAACACCCTTCTGGAGAAAACCCCCTGGCCCCATGAATGATTCCATGCCCGAAACCCGAGCGGCTCATTGGCAAGAGAATTCAAACAACAGCCTCAGAAGTCTCAAGCTCAAACCCAAAGCAGATCCTAACTCATCATGGCGTCAGGCGGAGGGCGTGATGTTGGATTTCTTCAAAGGCTTCTTGGACTAAGGCCACACCCAGGTCAGCCCATCGTCACACGTGGTCACCCCTCTTGCCACTCCACTGTGTTGGGTTCTGTGTTGGGTTCAGGGTCCGCGCACGGGACTGTCCAAAGTGGCCTTGATGTTTGGAGACAAGCAACCCTAAACCCTAAAACCCTAAACTGGGATTGGGCCGGAGCGTTGGAGTCGCTATAGAAGCGTCACTTTTTGGCAGTACTGTTTCTCGAGCTTGTACTCCCATTGAAGACTACAGGATTAGATGTCGATGCACCCCACCCCTGCGTTATATCGGATCTTGGGACGCGATCGCACCCACGAGTCCAACCCGATGTGGTGGTATTTTCGAGCGTGGGCACGTGTCACTGCCACGCCTACCTAAACCCCCAAAAGTAGGTAAAAATATGGCCCAAAACCCATAAAAAAGGCCATTATTCTACATACTTTTGGGGCCCAGGTAGTCGGTATATCTTGCTTGCGTGACGCCGGTCGACACGCTCGTCCAGACAGCTCCAGACCGTAATCTTAGATACTGTCGCCAATTCTAAAACAGAATCCCATTAAATGCCATTAAACAACAAAGCAACAAGAAAAATCAGAAACCAGAAACTCGATAGTATATATTTTAAGCCCTCAACAAAGCGATTCCGAGCAACCCTGAGCTTTAGAGTCAGTTCCGGTCTTCTGCTTGCGGCAGGGAATGAGCAGAGTGAAACTCCATACCTGTGACTGCAGCACTGCAGAGCACCCCAGAGCTTCGCACTTTGCGACCCCGCCTCAACACTGGGCCGCGCCGGGGCATAAAATTAAGCGTGCGGGCAAGTGGTGGATGAATTCTAAAGAATCTATATGACTATATGACAACAAACCCTAAACCCTCACCCTTAGTCCCGGCGCCTTAAACTCTCAAACAAAAAGTTGCCTCAAAGCTTAAACCATGAGCATGAGTGTGCAACCCGAGCTGGAGACATGAGTAGCAACATCCTGCCATGCCTCTCGGATCTCCATGAGCCAGGGAAGAGGCGAGAGGACCCTGGGCCCTAGAGAAAAAAGACAGAGTTTGGGAGTTTAGCAGAAAACAACGAGATATCCAAACCATGTGTTTGAGTGGCAGAATAGCATCCCCACTTCGTCATGGCTGCCTCTGAAGCCGTCAGAACCGGCCCATGTGCCTTGCAGCTGAGGTTACAACGTGTCCCACCACAAGGTGCACAAGTACTTTGATCCTTGCCTGGATGAGTTGTAAGAGGTTTTAAGACCTGCTTTCAAACGACACGCAGGATTTTGTCAGAAGCTTCAACGATCCGCATTCACTCTTATGTAGGTATTTGGTTGCAGAGCCACCGCCTCATTCCACAAATGCAAGCGGCGGGCTAATTTGTTAATTCACCGTCGTCGTGCGACTCGAGGACTCGATTTTCGACATCGACTCCACGATGCTGAAGCCATGCCTCTTTTCCTCTTATAAGAGAGAGCATCCGATTTTTAGGCTCAGTCTTACTTTGATTTCGAGCTGTTTTGTAAGCCTCATGGCCTTCAGATACAGGTTGCCAGGGTGAAAGCCCGATTTTTTTTGGAGAAAATGAGGAGCTTAGGCGGCTCATGGCTAAGGAGTCGCACCGTGACCCAGAATCCCAGACCTCCGGTCTGCTGTAAATGCCTCTGCCCAAGGCCACTTTCCGGGATCTACATTCCAGGACACAGAGCCATGGCTGAACTTCTCTTAGGGGCTGAGTAGGTAACCTTTAACCTTTTGGGGCCTATATAAACCTATTACAATTCAAAAAGGGCTAACCTTTTTTGGGCTATGTACTCGGCCCCTATCTTCTGCATTTTTAGCACCAGGACCTTTCGGCAACCTCTGTCTGCTGATACAGTTCTCTTGTGGCTGGAAGGAAGAAGCTAAGGCAGCATGTAACCTGCGCGAAGCTCCCCGACAAAGGATTCCGCCAGAGCCCTGCCCCACGGCCCCCTCCGCCGACTTGCAGTGGCATGTCAAGCCCGTTCTACGCAACTGGAAAACCTTTTTCACTCCTGTAGGCAGATTTCTGCTTTGCATATTTAGGGGCCGGGCTCTTCCCGTATATTCCCCATACAGTTGCAGCAGACAATACCTCGCAACCCTTTTGCAAGTGTTATATAAGAGGCCCAGTGATGTGGTTTGAGATTCCCGCGTAAGGACCTCATGGCCAGCTATTTGGATTGGACAGGCGATCGGGATGGCGTCTTGGAGGCCATGCATCATGGGCCAGGTTCGGAGCGCGCAGTTAGTGAGTCTTGGTGTAGTGGAGTGGTACGCAGAAGCCCAAGCCCCAATCCCTACAGACTGACAGCTGCACGGTCTACAGTCTAGGTCTCTTCCAGCTTTTCGCACAACAACTGTCAGATGCCATTGCATTTTCTCTTGGTTGCAACTCCAAGATGCACTCGGGAAGTATACATGACAGGCTTCGGCTATAGATTCTATCGATGGCCGGCGTCAATGTTGACCCTAAACCCTAAACACAAGCACCCTCAAGAAGAACCCTATAAAACCCTCAGCGGGTTGGGAGAAGGTCATTTCGGGTGGTGAACCTGTTGCCATCGACAAGCAGCCCCCCGGAGTCTCCGAGCTTCCATCTCTGTTAAGTAGATAGTTAAGGAAATCATAATAGGGAACCCCACAAAAGGAAGTGTTTATGGGGGTCAAGGTAGGGGTTATGGGGTTTGCTCGGTGTGGCCGCGCCTTCAAGCGACAATGTCCACACAATCCGATATGTTTTCGTCGACAGCGTACCGTGTGCACAGGTAAACGACGGCAAGTTCATTGCCAAGTGTGATCAGACGCACTGGTGGGCACCTTTGGCCAAAATGGCAGGACTGCTGTTCCACAATCCCTCGCTGTTTGCCTATACGGCAAGATAAGCCCGTTGTAGTTAAACTACAATTTCTTTTCAGGCCGTTAGAACTCATTATCAAACCGGTCCTACAACCACACTCGAAAAGGTTTTGCAAGGTCGCCGATCAGCAACGCGTCTCAGAAACCTCAGCACCAAAGTGGTACTGCCACCATGCCGCCAGACCCTTTTGTTGCATCCGCCTCATCCGCAACTAACGTCTGAGGTCTGTCAGTTTTAAGCTGAACCTGTGTGCTATTGAAGCACAATTGAACTAGTATTGCGATTCCTGCGGGTTCCTGATTAGATATACGATAGTATACCCTTAAGCCTTGTTCTGACTATCAAAGGGTTTAGGGGTTCTTCAGGCCTATACTACTTGAAGTGTTGGCACTACATCCTGAAGCTGGACCCCGAATCTAAGCCAGTCAGTGTCTTCTGTTCTGGTGCCGTTAGGAGTGTTGGCTTGGCGGGGGGCGTTTAGGGTTTACCTTAAACTACCAAAACCTACTTTTTTGTGGGGTCCCTATACATTCCATATTAGGCTTTATAATAAGAACCTACAAGAAAGTAGGGTTTGGTAGTTTAAGGTAGGGTTTAGGGAGAGGCAGACTTCCTAGAGTTTGCGTTTTGGTGAGATCAGTCGTCAGGCAGGAGTGTGTGCAAGATGGGAGATTGGAAGCCCGAAAACCTCATCCCCAAAGAAGACTGGAACGAAGTATAGAAGCTCTAAACTCTTGGTTTTGGGGTTTGGCCACCGCAGCGCAAGTAAGCCTAAAGCCGCAGAACCAGAAGGGCACAGATACAGACCGGTTTCCCCCAAGGGTCCTTGCCATATGCAAAGCTTCTTAGATGTTTCTCTGCTGCTTCTGCTACAGAGGGCACTTTGCTCCGAAGGAATTATTTGTCACTATATACCACTGTGTCAGTTTTATCCCGACCTGCCTTGACCGAAGCCTGTCATCTCAAGCCGAGGTGTCACCAGCTTGCCGGCACAACATCTCAGAATGCATTCCAGCCACTTGGAGGCAGGTTGTGCCAGCCTGCCAGAACACATAGGACAAAAATACATGGGGAGGACATTGATGCAGACGTACGTTCAATGAGTACTAAATTCGTTGTCGTATGTGCAGTACCTCTCTGGCAACAGAAAAATTAACATATCATGAGGCTGGCAAAGCAGCAGTTGCTGCAGGAAGAGCCGCGGCAGGAGCAGAAGCAGCCGAAACATCACCAGCACGGGTAGGAAACCCTCCAGTGTCGACGATGTCGGCTGTTACGGTAACGGCGGTGGCGACGTTAAGGCTGCCCGGCTTGAGCAAAACACAGGTCTTGGAGCCTTGAAAAAGCAGCCAAAAGCATCCCATCGCCGGTCTCTAGCGACTGAGTTTCTGTAATGCCAAGCACTGGTAAGTCAGTTTGTCCGAGACCCTCACCGACATGACTCTGCTGGTTCAAAGTCCGGAGATCCGGTTCTGAAACTGTCTAGGCTTTTAGTGTTCCTCTGTGCTGCCCGTATATACTTCTAACTGTGTATGTATATATATATATATGTATACATATATACACACACACATATATATATATATGTACCCCTATGTATGTATTAATGTATGTATGCATGTATGTATGTGTATGTATAGGTATACATACATACATATACAGTCATTCACTCATACATACATACATACATACATACATACAGACATGTGTATATACGAATTCCTGCAAGAGCAGTGCATTTTGCGCTTGCAAGCCAAGGTCTTGACCTACGAAGGGGGCTTCCATGCGGAAACTTTCATGCAATGGGCGGCCTCCTGGCTTATTATTATTATCTTCATTATTGTTAGTGTTACTGTTATTAGTATTATTACTATTACTATAATAATAATAATAATTATTATTATTGTATTTTTGTTTTTTTGACACAGTAAGAGTAACAACAGAGTAACAATGATAACACTAATGCGTTATGTAGATTGGAATTTGGGGTTTACAGGGATTGAGAATCAGTATGGGTTCGTCGTAAGTGGGGTCTTAACTCGCATAATAGGCGTCTCTCGGCTTGCTTAGATGAGGGTTTTAGGGCTTGTGGATTTGGGTTTAGTCCTAGTTGGGCTTAGAAACGGTTCGAACTAAACCCTAAGCCCCTAAAGCCTCGCTTGTGGGCATAGATCCTTAGCCATGCGAGAGGGAACAACCCCTAAAGCCTCTCGGCTTGCTCTCATGAGGATCTCGGGCTCGTCGGAACTGAGGCTTAGTCCGAATTCTGGACAGTAAGTAATCATGGCCTGTTGGCCTGCTTGATTTAGCTATATGTAGCTTAAACCCTAAACCCTTAAACCCTAAACCCTAAGGGGGTAGAATTTTCATTTGGAGTTCGGGTCCTCAACGTTGCAAGGGGCTAAGCAAGGAGGTTGTAGTTAGGTATGTGATTTACTCTAGCAGAAGAGTACGAGACGAATGCGAATATCAATAGTAATAGCGTATGTTAACAGTAATTCTACGGGAACAACAGATGGAAATCCAATCATAAGAAACGTGATAGGCCAGACTTGCGCTTGCTAGGTTCTACACGGAGTCTGCAGGGCATCTACAAGGGGGTTGGGGTTCGCGGCCTGCGTTTGTAAAGATTTAGGGAAGTAGAGTACCAGAGCTGAGGGTACAATTACCCGAAATGGGCTATAGTGCTCCTGTCCCAACTTAAAGTTTAGATGGGCAGATTGTTTGACTTAGCAGCCGGCATCATACGTTTGGTGGCTATACATTGGATGGACCGTAGAAATCCAAAACTCCAAATCACGGAGTTCGAGATCCGAGGCGTGTCCCAGTTCTGAGTGCTGCAATCACAGAGTTAGCCGTGTTATATGTCGAACCCAGAGACTCCAAAACCCCTTTGGTTAAGGAATATACCTTAAATTATAATGGGAACCCTAATAAGACTTTAAGGTATAATTCCTGAATTAAGGNNGGGTTTTGGAGTCTCTGGGAAGTTGGCGACAGACGAGGCTTTCCATTCCATGCCGATGGCCATAGGGGTGGCCCGGAACTGGGGACGCTGTGGCTGCACTGGGGCTACGGGTGCTTCATTGATCAGGGTAAGGTTTAGGGTTCAGGGTTTNNTCAGGGTTTAGGGTTTAGGGAAGTAGTGAGTAGATTATACTCAAGGTGGGACACCGGCATAGCGGCATAGAGGATCTCTGCACGCATTTGAGGTTCCTGCTACTTGGTAGTCAGGCATCAGGACCTCAGAGTGCAAGTCCATGTGACCAGCCTGCCACGATGCATAGCGATCACACGCAGTAGTGCTACTCTTCACGGGGTCCATGACGCATGAAATTTTTAAAGGACCAAATGCTGGGTGTGGTGTCGAGAGGGTTTATTGCTTTTTGGTTCGTGCTTGGCTTCTCAGGTTTAGGGCCACGGTGAGGTCACGAAGCTCTACCGTGGCGATCCTTACATGGTAAACGCTCCAAGCGGCCATCTGACACGAAATTTGCACCGCGCCACAACACGAACTACCGTATGTGACCATATGTGACCCACAAGATCTCACTGTTCGGTGATTTGTTCACTCATGGCCGTTAGACTCCGTTAGACCGTTAGGTTGCTTGTGCTCATTTGCCTGCGACTTTCGGGTGCGAAGCACTCCGGCTCTTGTTCTTTGTTCTCGGTTGTCGTTGGTTCCGAAGCCTTCTCCGACCCTGTCTTATAGTCTATCACCCATACCCCTTGTTTAAGGAACATCGCCTAACGAAGCTATTTTGAAAGTACTGCTTCATGTCTGGTTTCAGGCCCTATAGGTCCTACTAAGCCCTACAAGCCCCCCCGACCGAACACGGGACAAATCCGAAAACACCTAAACTCTATAGGGTTTACGGTTTAGGGAAAAGCACTACACCCTAAAAGCTATAGGAGCCCTATTATCTAAACCCCCCCCCCCCCCCCCCCACCCCCTACCAGAACCCTAAACCGCCGAAAGAGCGTCGCCCCAGGCGCCTACACCGACCTCGTCCGGAAATCTCAGGCCGCCTTTTATTGGTGGATCCCGGAAGTCACGACGCTNNNNGGCTTATAGGGCCATTATAGGGTTTAGGGTTTAGGCCGGGCGAACGAAGCCTGCTGCAAAAGGGTCTTATAGGGCTTATAGGGCTATAGGGTGTACGGCTTTGGGCTTAGGCTTTTCAGATCTACCCCAGTCCGACGCCCGAAGCCGCCCAATACGACCAGGCCACCAGGCTGGCCCTTAGAAATCTGAACCACCCCAAACCCAAAGCCCTAAATCCCCCTAAACCCTAAACCCTAAATCCCCCTAAACCCTGAATCCTAAATCACCCTAAATTCTCCCAAAACCCCAAACCCACAAGACTCGGACTACGGGGGAAATCCTGAGGCCCCAAGCCCAACAACTGGCTCTCCTTTGAGGAGAGGAGGATGTAGAGGCTTGGGGTTTAGGTTTAGGGTTTAGGGTTTAGGGGTTTAGGGCTTAGAGTTGTTCAACAAAGTTGAAATGAAGCGGTTCCTTGCTCTTGCATTCTGCAGCTGATACGACAAACTGCACTTGAAACCTCCACAGCTGTAGGGCTTTGTCCTTATCACCTTGTGCGAGGGTTTGTGCTACCAACCGCAGGACCTTCGCAAAGCCAGAAACCCGTGTACTACAGGAATCTGAATAACTAGCTTCCCAAAACCATCCTCAGAACCCGGGCCGATGTATGTAGCGCGTAGACTCTGACCAACAAAACTCCAAGCCCGAAACCTTACCTGCCGAATGCGAGCCTGAGAAGCGTGAGACCCCAAAAAACCCTGACCCTAAACCCTAAACTAAACCCTAAATCCTAAACCCTAAGCGGGTGGGAAAAAACCCTAAACCCCTATAAACCCCAAGGTTCTTGGACCTTGAACCTCAGCCAGTCATCTTTCCGGAACACAGCCCAAAGGCGCGGCAAGTTGTTTTGGATGTGTGGTTCTGCGGTTCTGAGCTAAAGGCTGAGGGCGCACAAGGGAGCAATAAAGCTGCTTGATTTCATGAGTTAGCAGCACTGTATTCCATCGGGTTCCCTCTCGTAGGTTTTGTACTAAAATTTGAAGCTGAATGTGAAACCCTCTCTTGTGGAGCAGGGCCACACCCATAAAGAAGCGTGGATAATTGATAACTACCAATACCATCCCTCATGGTTCCTGGTTTCACTATTATGAATTTACGCAAACTCCCCGAGCCACACGATGTGCCGAGCCTTTTGGATTTTGGATTGATGGGTTGACCCCAAGAGCCTCATGAGTTTAGGGTTTCACGAGTGCGATGTGCTGCGAGGGACTTGGCCGGGCGAGCTCAGTTCAAGCCTGTGGAAACAGGGTCATAAGTCCTTCTGAGTTGGGTCTTTGGCTATAGTTTGGATAGTCAGTAGATATTGATTGGACTCCTTGGCTTGATATCAGAATCTAAGCGTAACAGACGGCTGTCAACTTGGCAGCTATGGCGGTCTTGTTCCTGAAGTCGTAAGCGTGGTAGCGATGCTTGCGATGGTGACAGTGAGAACGATGGTCTTTTCTCCGTATAGTCACAGGAGTGGGACGACTATCTCATGCGCACGGCGGTACCTGGGCTGAGATGGTACAAGTGCACCCTCCCATGCCCCAGTCGGCATTGAGTGCACGGGTCATTCTGTTGCACCAAACCTCGCACCAGATAAGTGTAGTTCCCTGGAGTTCACACTGCAGGTTTATTTCTTAGACAGCAGATGTCCACAAGGTGGCTTTTTGGTCAAATTTGGTCTGCCAGTGCTGTGACCAACAGCAGCGAATGATCATCTACAGACTGCTGACTATTGACTCCTCTTGCCACTAACCGCTAACTACTAGCTGGTAACTACTACGTACTAACTACTACCTACCTTTGTGGCCCTGGAGTGCTGACTCCGTCGTGCCAAGTGGGTGACAAAACTACTACTACTACTACTACTACTACTACTACTACTACTGCGACTACTACTACTGCGACTACTACTACTGCGACTACTACTACTGCGACTACTACTACTGACTACTACTACTACTACTACTACTACTACTACTCCTACTGCTACTGCTACTGCTACTGCTACTGCTACTACTACTACTACTCCTCCTACTTACGACTACTTACGGCTACTTAGGACTACTTACGGCTACTTACGACTACTTTCGATACTTACGACCACTTACGACTACTTACTACTACTTACTAATACTTACTACTACCTACTACTACCTACTACTACCTACTACTACTTACTGCTACTTACTGCTACTTACTACTACTTACTACTACTTACTACTACTTACTACCAACTACCAACTACTAGCTACTAGCTACTAGCTGCTAGCTGCTAGCTGCTAGCTGCTAGCTGCTAGCTGCTAGCTGCTAGCTGCTAGCTGCTAGCTGCTACTACTACTGCTGCTGCTGCTGCTGCTGCTGCTGCTACTGCTACTGCTGCTACTGCTACTGCTACTACTACTACTACTACGACGACGACGACGGTATAGGAGTTGCATACTGCCACCGCCAGCAGCAAGCCATAGTAGGAAAGCAGTCGTACAATGAGCCTTCGAATCGCTGCTTAGCCGACTCTGTGCTCCCACTGCAGTCCTCCGAGGCCCAGGGAGCTTTTGTCAACAAGGCCTCGAGCTACGACCTCGGCTTTAAAGCAGAGCTTGTCTCCAAGTTGCCTGGCAGCAAGGGCTTCGAACTGGAATGAAAGGGGGCACATGTTCGTATTCGCCTGAGCTGTGACTGCTGAGCTTCACCGACTTGCAGCACTCGCCATGCATCCTCTGCCCGGGCTGCAGGCTGATCTCTGACTTACGGCTTGAGATGTCGGAGATGGACCAGCTGATGCTCGATGTTGCGAACAGTCCACTTGCTGCAAGTCAAGGAAGCGATTTCACTTGTACGGGGCACATGACGGCCATGGTCGGCGTCGTTGTAGTACATTGCGTCAGCTCAAGGGCTCGCGCATCGTCGTGTGCACGGCGAATGGAGCTTCTTGCACTAAGCCCCTGACGCTAACCTTACACACGCATCCTCGAAAACCCTCAGCTTTGAAGCCATGGACCACCAAACTCCAGATGCAAAAGCACTCAGCCCGAAACTTCAAACAGTTGCGAACCGAGCCGGGCAATGGGCGTTTCCGCTCTTCGGCTGGCCGAGGACTGATGCTTCGACCACCACGAATCCTAATATAGGGACTTTCTAACAGTTACCTATACTATTTTGGGCGGTTCCGTATTATAACTATAGTACCTATAGTATAATTAGCCCCAAACCCACATCCTCCTACGTCGCCTCCTCCCTGCCGGGGAAGCCAGTGCCGTCTGCTCCTCCTAGAACTGCTGCAATGACTGGCAGCTTGGGAGCAATCAGTACATCTCCTGCGCCCTTGCCTGCATGATGCTCTACAGAGAGTAGCCAGAAGACTCTATCCGATCGCAATGCCCTGAGAGCCTTCCATCTACGAGGACGGCAGGGTCGTCACACTCTCCCCCCCCCCCAAAAAAAAAAAATTGACTTGAATGTCGACAGCTACGCTGGATATGGCCGGAGGATTACGGCGCTGCATAGGCGCTTAGAGGACGAAAGCGGGTCGCTGTGGCAGCTTCGGTTTACAGATGGTGGAGTGCAGTTCCACTCGGAAAGAACCGGCCCGGCAAGCGACTTCCTGCCGGACGACCGACCGCTGGGAAACGACTGGTTTCTCGCAGGCTGTTGAATGGAGAGCGTGATCAACGTCGATGTGCCGAGGACTTTCTCTATTCGTCAGAGCATCAGTGCCAGCGTCCTCTTCTCTGTCTCAACCCACGACCTCACCTGCAGCCCCACCGGGCGATTTGCGCCGAATGGGAGCTTTTGGTGGAAGAGTTTCCAAGGAAGGCGCGTGTCTGTGGGGGTGCTGTCACCTCGGCAGCCAACCCATTCTGTCATTCTGCGTTTCGAGTGCTGACGGCCAGTGCCCTGAGCGCGAAACTGCTCCACCTGTCAGGCTGAAGCTCTTTGCCATCTGTAAATCTACGGGTGGAAAAAGGGAAGGATGTCGACACAATGGCTTACTAGTGGCTTTTGTCTGTCCGGCTTTTTCTGTGCCTTGCCCAGATTGCGTCCAAGAAGTGAGGCTCGGAAACCCTAACGACCTGCTTGTGTGTGGGTTTGCTGATGGCAGATGAAGAGGTTGTGTAGCCGGCAAATTGTGCAAAGCAACGTTGAACTACGGTTGATGATATAAATCCTGCATTACCCATAATAAGGAATATGCCCCTGTTCCCATAGTTTAGGGCCCTTTTCAGGTAATGCGGGATTTACATCATCAAGAGTAGGTCCAGTATGGCCCTCCTGAGTTTCCTTTCAGGTGAGTGTGTTTGTACCATCGACCTCGCCTGGATTGTCCGAGTTGCGAACGCCGAAACCCCGAAGCCGTAAGAAAGCAAATGCGCGAGATCCACACCTGGAGTGGAGGCAATCTCCTTCATGCCACAATGACGACAGCGAGCTCGGGAGCACGGGCGAGCCATGGCCCTCGCTCCCGAGCTCGCTGTCGTCATAGTGGCATCGCCTGATCCACGTTGGACATGAACAATCTGTTCAATGCTTGACAATCCGACTATGCTGCTGGAAGCCGCGTGGCAGACTGGCTTCCCCAAAACAGAAGGAAACGCAGCATGTTGCCGAGTAGCCTCCAACTCAGCGAGAGCGAGGTGCAGCGTCTTGTAGCGTCAGCAAGCAAGCAATTCCCACGGTAAGCACCACCTCAATGTCTTTGTATGGGAACATCCTGGCACAGCTGGATACTGCCACCAAAAACTACGAGGGCATGCGATCTAGTGAGGAAATTGTAACGCGCATGCTTGTATAACGTCCAAGTTTCTGTCAAGTCAGAACTAGAGAGTTAGAGATTTCAGAGACGTCTATGATCCCCGGCAATTAAGTGGTGTTCCGGCATGCTGCACGCATACTATTGGCGGGATCCTGCACAAAGAACCCTTAGTCATAAGCGAGCCCCTTAAAACCTTAAACTTTATTCAACTTTAATCTCTCACACACCCTGCAATGCGGGCTCGTCCTTGTGAAGTAGCTGGCGAAAAACCTTCTTGCTTATCAGGAGGGGGGGCAGATGTGAGGGTTTCTGGGAAGCCCGTGGAAAGTACTTAGCCATCCAAGGTCGGAGTCCCAAACTCCAAACTTCTCGGGTTTGTAGGCTGTAGGGTGTCGGACTTAAGGCTTTCGGTGCTCGGGCTTACTAGGAGTTTAGGGCTTCGAGGTCACTGTGATTGAGACCCGGAGCCTGAAAGCCGAGGCCTCAAGCCCTCCAAAAGCCCGTCAAAATGCCTTGAATCCTCAGACCAGGCGCAAAAGTCTTGGGATTTCAGGGTTTATAGGGCCTAGTATAGGGCCTATTATCGGGTTGAAAGGGACCCCAGGGCCAAGCCCAAAAGCCTGAAGCCCGGAAGCTGAGGTAACTCCTCGAAGCCCATCGAAGAGGTTGCGTGCAAATGGATCCGCTCCACTGATCGATGGCGAGCATGGATCCCAGTCGTAACGCGCCCTGCCATTTTAGGGTTTAGGGTTTAGCCAAGCATGTCCGACTCCCATATTAGGGGCCCTGTTCAGGGGTCCTTTTGTCAGGGTCTATTTTGTGGTCCCTTTTTGCTCTGAGCTTCAAGTGCATCGATATTTATCATTCTTACCTTGTTACAATAGCTTTTCCAGGAAGCTCATGCCAGATGAGTTGGGGGATGTCGCTGCCAGTCTAGGATTGCAGCTCCGCGGAGGTCCTGCTTGCACCAGTTGCAAACCCACGTCCACTGTAAATGGTAGTCTCACGGGCGATCGTGGGGGTGGTTGAGGCAGAGAGCGGCCACCGAAACCTTTCCAAACCGTTCTTACAAGAGCGTAGTGCAGCTTGCAATTCCCCACGAGTATTTCTAGGCACCAAACCCTCAACAAGCCCCGTCGTAAACTGCAACGGGAGTTTGAATGAAAAGTGGGTGCTTAGGGTGTTTGCCGTAGGCGAGATGAGCCAACAAAAGACACTATCGAAGCCTGTGTCTTCAACATGAGAGTTGGGGAAGGACATGAAAAACCTGAATAGCCCCGCCCGCAAGCCTCTAGATGCCCCTGAACGAAGCCTGGTAGAATAGCCCTAAGCCCTAAAAACCAGAACCGCCTGAAACATCCGGGACCCGACACCCAAAACTCGAAGGAACTGTGGCCCGGGCTTCGGCTTTGCAAACGACGAGGGAGAGCATGTGCTCGCACGCGCCGAAGCCACTGGCTGCTCCCTCTGCTGCTGTGCTTTTACTCAGGGTTTGAGGCCTGGCGGGTTTCAGAGATTTCGGGGCAGGCAAGAGCTCTACACCGTTTCATGCCAAACCCTGAATCCTGAAAAACCAACACCAAACCCTGAAACCCCAAACCCATGCATTTTCAACCCTGAGCCGCCCAAAACCCCACACCCGATAGCCAAGGCCATCCTGGTGAATGGTCTGAGCTTTACTCAGACGAGGATGGCGTCTCCCATCGGTGCATGAAGCGCCCCGTCTGATGGGAAGGTCAGTTGCACTCTCTGGGTTGAGCTTTGATGATTGTCTATGGGCAGTTCTCTAAATTAGGATCCCTTTTAGGGTCCATGTTACCAGGGTGCCATTTCTTTTTTGGGGACCTAGAAAAGGGATCCTAATTTAGAGAACTACCCCAAAAACTGGGCCCTTGAAGTCTGGATTTAAAGGATCAGGCTTGGAAGCCAGCTTCCCAGAGACTCCAAAACCCCTTAACTAAGGAATATACCTTGAATTATAATAGCAGCCCTAATAAGATTTAAGGCATATTCCTTAATTACGGGGTTTTGGAGTCTCTGGGTTGAGGCTCTTCCAGCCGGCAGATTGAATGACACTATGGTGGTCATGACAGCAACTGCCACAGTTTCTCAGACATTGGTGTCTCCATTGTTTCATATATTTGCTAGACTAGTTCCATCATTGAAGTTGTTTCTGTGGCCGTTACGTTTTAGGTACGAAGCCCAGTCAAGACAATCACGGTCAAGTTAAAGCGACTTAAAGCGGCTGGGAACAGCACATAGGATTCCGAAGTATTGGAAGTAGCACGTAGTTTCTCTTGGCATGTGACGATTTTCTTTAGCATTGTGACTTGCTTGCGGCGATGATTTTGATGCCGCAAGATCCCATCCGGCCCAGGTGCTCGCAAGGGACGTTCCAAAATGAGGCTGGGAAACGACCTTAGACTGCTGAATGTAGGGCAAGTCGTCAGCACCTGCGTGACAACTTCGACGACGGCGACGACGATTGCTGCTAACGTCGCCGCCATCACCCAACTGCAACTACTACGAATCATGCAGGTAATGGTCGTGATAATTCCTTTCAATGCAATTGTAAACATAGAAACACGCTTCACCGTCACCACCGCCGCCGCCACCACCACCACCACCACCAGCAGAAGAATAAGAAGAGCTATTGCTCCCGCCAGCACTAATTACCATTAATCACTACTCTCATCAGCTCGACCCTGCTGACGATGGATGCTGCGCAGCTGTGTGTTCTATAGACTATAGTCCTGAGCCTTAACCCTAAAGCCCGAAACCCTAAACCCTAAAATTTAGACTCTCCAGCCTCAACCATATAGGCTGGTGAGCTGAAGTGCGCGAATTGCGCGCCCGG